AAGATTGTTTAAACATTGTTTAAATTCTCTTACTTGTAAAAGATTGTTATCTATAGTACATTTATATAGTTTAAACATTTCATTTCAAAAAAAAAATCCTACCCAAATCTCCACAGGATTAATGCATTAGCCCTTGTAATTGGAAGGAATTTGCATAGTTTCTAACTCTGCCACACATATTCAGTGGGAAATTACAACAGCAGACCCAGTGCAATCCTGCTTGGTGGGAAATTGACAAAACTATATCTCTCTAAGCTAGGTGATATGGTATGGTAAAATTCAAGCATGTAAGAGCACTACTATTCAGAAAGCTGAATACCCCCTCCATTCCAAAAAGATTCATACATGGTTTAAATTCTATTAAATGCACTCCCACTGCTTAATTTAATTTGTCAGGTTTCACTTTTCCAGAGTCAAAAAGCATGAATTTCCATCAACATTTTAAGATATATTTTTTCATCACATTAATATGAGAAGGCTTGCAACTTATAGTTATCGAACATCTAAATTTAAAATATTAAATTAATCCAATTCAATATTAACTTCAAAAATTAGTCAAATTGACTCTCATGAAGTGAAACATGACAGGTAAAAAATGAACCGAGAGACTCTCTATTACTCTCATCTAGTTTAAACATTTTATTTCAAAAAAAAACTATACAAATCTATACAGGATTAAACGTAGCATTTGGAAAGAGTTTGCTTAATTTCTAACTCTGCCACACATATTCAGTGAGAAATCGATACAGAGTGTATTGTAAGCCGAAAACTCAAGTAGAAAGAGCTGACAACACAGAGGAGAAAATAGAAGATACTTGATAATGGCTGGAAGTGGAAATCGATTGAGAAAGTCTTGAGCTGAAGCATCGGAATGAGCGCCTGAAAAAATTGTATGATACACAAATTAACCAATTGCTTATTTACCAAATAGGAGAAACAAGTAAAAAAAAAATCAGAAATACCAGGATGATACGCAAAGTCAGTAGCTGCTTCCAGTAACTGCGCCGGATCCATAGAGTACTCTTCCTCCATTGTTAGTGTATCAGAGAGAGAGAAAAAAATTGCAGACGGTGAGGAAAAAGATGAGAGAGTACAAAAGAGGGCTAAAAGAGCTACTACTGAATCGGTTTTTGAAACTTTTTGTTTACTTGCACAACACACTCACGCACACTGTGTGCAGTGTCGTTTACTGTGCTTTTTTCTCCTCACTTTTGTTTGTCACGACTCGTGATACACTAGCTGATTGACAACAAATGTGATTTTTTTTGAAAAAGGGTAATATCGAAGGAAAATTACCCTATCACTACGTTTCTTTTTTTTACTGGATATTTATATTAAAATTCGACTAATTTACTTTCACATCAAGTAGGACCTCATTTGAAGATGGCGTTTTTTGAGATTTTTTCATACCGAACTCGCTCTCTTATTGATACCTTTGTTGATGTCAATTTTGCATAATATTTGTTAGGAAATGCATGCTAAATTAGTACTATTGCGAATTTATGCTCAAAAATGTCTTTAATTTGAAAGTTCTTTCATAAACCAAAATAATAAGGTGAAAAACTAATTAAAAGAATGTAGTGTAACGGATTGACGGTGGCTTTATTACTTTATTTTATTTTAGGTTTTCAAACGGCGTAGGATACACATATTAGATTCACGTCGAGACGTCCCATATCAGTGAGTAAACCTCCCCGACAAACGCAATAGAGTCTCAAACATTGATTTAAAATGAAAGAGTATTTACCACTCACTTTGTTACTTTAAGAAAAGAGGAGGTAAATGTAGTAACTGGGCCGCTAATAAGATTAGGATGAATTTTGTTGTACCTAATTTTCTGGCATGAAACCAAATCTAATGGGCTTAGTTGAGCAAATTTCTCAAAACTCTTTTGCAACATGTAATTAAACTCAAGTAACCTTGAAAATTAATTTTCTCTGTTCATAAACTTGTAAGGTTTAAAACTAAGTTATTAAAGTTAAAATATTTCTGATAAGATCGAAAGTTAAAAATTCAAGATCACTCGCTTTTAAAATTATTACGGACCGCGTGACGCTGCAAGCCAGTAAGTCACGCAATAGCGTCGATGATGACACGTACGATAAAGCCATGTCGTGTCTATTTTCCTGTTTTGAGTTCGCGGCTCTATCAACAACTGAATAGTTTACATTGCTTTACAGTTCATATACATACATTAATAAAACAAGACAAGAGTTAAAAATTTATATTTTTATTTGATGAGTTGACCTTAAGATTTTCAGAATTAAATTTATTGTACCTTTAAAATTTGATATTATTATTTTCTTTGTCTATTTGTGATACAATTTCTATTATTGAAATGCCAAGGAAATTCTTTTTGTTACGATTTTCTTTGTGTTTTTCATAAATTAATGTGATTAATATTTATTTTTTTAAGGTTATAGCATTATACTTAATGTAATGTTACGAATAGAAAAGAGGATAGGATGAATCAATAAGAGAGGTGAGAGTGTTTATGTGAATATGTAAGTTTTTTTAAAATTTTTTTTTATGTATATATAGATTTTGAATATTTGAACACAAGATTTGAAATTCTAAATTCAAATCCTAGATATAATTACATTTTTATTTTTCGAACCCGCTTATTGAAAATTCTGAATCCATCACTGTGATGTACGCAGATCTTACTATTACTTTTATGGGGTAGAGAGGTTGTTTACTATAGACTCTCGACACAAAAAAAGTGCGATAAAAACAAAACTGAAAAAAATAAATAACGACAACATAATAACAAGATAAACAAAGCAAAATGAAGAATAACATATACTTTATGAATACTAAGGACGAGTACACTCATTTACTTACTACCCTTCTATCTAAATCATTGACCTCTATACTTTTTTATCTAGTGACATATCATCGGTAAGCTAAACATGTACATATCTTGTCTGATCACTTCTTTGAGTTTCTTTTTTGTTCTATATACATCTATCTCTCTTAAAAATTATTAAAGTCAATCTCTCACACCTTCTTATTAATCCTCGACTCACCATCTCAACTAAAAACTTAAAAACTTCTGTATTCAAACTCACATTAAAAATTAAATAACTTACTCTAAATCATCTCACATTAAATATAATTTACATGATATACTTATATTTCATAATAAATAAATAAAATTGGAATGTTGAATTAAAGTAAACAGTAATGAGTAGAGTGCGTCAGAGGAAAATTGAAAGGTCATATATTGACAAGAGGAAAGGAACAGAGAAGTGAATGGGGAGATCCCATTCATGATTATAAGTTTCCTACCTAAGGCAAATCTCAACCCTTACTTTTCTCTCTTTGGACTTGTGCATTTCCTTTTTATCTCACCTACGCTATATATACTACTTGTCCTTTTTACTACATTTTTATATTATATTTCATGTACCTCAAAGAGTAAAATATGTCCAATATTCTAACAAGTAAATTATTAGTCCATCCGTTTTAATTTATATGATATAAGACGAAATTTAAGTATAAGTATGTGAAGACTTAACAATGTGTTAAAATTATTCGATATATTTGTAAACTTTTTGCATAATAAGTAGGATAAATATTGATAATATCATTAAATATTTGCTACATAGCATTATTCTTAAACTGACTAAAAATAAAAGTATGTCAGATAAATTAACAAAAAATAATAGTAGCATTTAATAATATGATCTCATAATCACGAGATTAATGTTCTTTAGTGCGTATGAAGTACATTTATCTATTCACATCTCAAACTAGGGCTTCAATGTATTTGCAATTATATGGAGCTTTCATATCCATAAACCTGGATAAATAATAAAATTAGAAATTTCATCAAAAATATTTAAAATTAGAGAAGCTCACAAAAATTTCACTAGTTTAAAAGCTAAGTATATAGATATGCACTACTTTGCAATATTACGAATCTTATAAGAGTTTAGTACATCCAGATACATGTATCTCGAAATACATGAGATCAAAATTAGGTATATTTTATTCTAGATATATTGTATACAAGTGGATTCGCATATTTTTGTGATACATATACAGATCTCGCTTGTCATTCTCATACCTCACTCGTGTATTTAGTGCCCCAAATACATGTTTCTAATGTATATCTAATATAGTTTGCATGTATCTGAAAACATAGACAAAACTTGCTCACCTGATCTCTCTATTTCAGTGTATCTAATAGCACCCTGCCTTATCCCATCGTGTGTTATTTTTGCAATGATTTAATATTGAACACACATTTTGTTGTTAGGCAATTATGGATTTTTTTAAGAACTTCACCACACACATACTGGCAGAGTTTCCGTACGCAAAACACCAAATATACGTTGCTCCACAAAAAAAAAACATAATGTAAATAAGTTAAAGTGAAAGCAGGTGTATTCAATTTAATTTGTCTCATTGGCAAACACCGACAATATTCCATGTGGATCCTTACTCTTAGTCCACATAATTTAATCAGCAACAGTAACCCATGCTACCATGCGGAGCTAGATAAGGGAGAGGGGTTCATATAAATTTTTCTGTACTAATTTATAAAAAAATATTTATAGTAGATATCGAATGATTTCTTATATTTAATCCGGACTTCATCATTAATATTTACATGATACTAGAATGTACCTCTTTCATAATTGATTAAAAAAACTGACATTTCAAAGTTAAAAAGGCCAAACAAGTACTCATAGACAAAAAAAATACTAATACCCAGCTAAAAGGCAAGTAAAATCCAAAAATTAAATAATCATCGCTGTTCAATGATAGTCTGAAAATTCTGAAACATCAAGACATATACTATAATCACGTACGAATATAATAGACAAGAAATAATAACATGCATTAAATTACGCCGAACGTTTACAACAAAGTGACAATACTACTAAAGCTGCCACACACAGTACATTCCATACTTAATAAACCAAAACCAAACATTAACACACTAATTACTACTTAATTAACTTCTTAATTAAAATTAAACAATTGCTAATTCAGTAGCTCCACATACAGTCAAGTTCAGACTGTTGAACTTTCTGAGTCTCCGGCACGGTCCAATTACCCATCGGATTAGAAAATCCGCCGTGCATGGAGGAAGATCCGCCGGAGAATAACGGAAGCTGGAGATTCTCATGGAGTGATCTTAAGCTTGGGAAAGTTGAGTTCCTTGTGTAATTGGTGAAATTAGTTGGAGTAGAGTCCAAAATAGAACTGAAACTTGGAGTTGGCTGTAGTGCATGCAAGGTGTTTGTTGAAATGTCGAAGACAGATGATGGATCGAAAGTTAGACTTTGTGTTGTTATTGTAGCAGTAGCAGTTGTGGAGAAACAGGGCACGTGCTCCTTTTTGAAGCTATGATGATCATGATCGCGATCGCCGATTACGATAGCTGTAGCGGAAGTAGCGGTGGTGCTGTACGGGGAGGAATCAAGGAGTGGCGGAAGGTGAGAGACGGAAGACGGTGAACTCACTTCCTGGTACATGTTTATGCTTGAACTTAGCCTTTTTTTGCCGCCACCAGTTGAAGTGGCGGCACCATTAGAACCGGTACTTTTTTGAAAGACCCGCGAGATCACCCACTCGTCCTGTAGTAAAAATAATATTAGAACAATCAAAACGTGAAAGACGAAGTCGGAATTTAAAGTTTCATAAATTCTAGATTTTAGAATTACGACTTCTAAAATTATAAGTAATTGCAGCAAGTGTTAGGTCATATAAATTAAATAAGAACTAGATTTACATATTTAACGAACTTCGTAACAAAAGGTTCATAAAACTCACATCAAGGCCTCTAATTCGCCACCAAAACAAATATACAACATTTTAAAGGGCTAAACCTTCTAATTTGTGGCGTCTAAAAAGCTTATCTTATTATTAAAGAAAGGTTTTTGGTCTAACAAACATTAAGCACATAATCATGAAAGTTAAAAAAATATTTAAATTAATGTCAAAACGCTAGAAGTCAAAATCGAAGAGACTGGTGATTCTACGTAAGCATGCTTACACCTTGTCAAGGCTAATAAAATAAGTTTGAAAAGAGATTATTTTAAATCGCTATCATCATGACAGTATATTATTCTGTAAAGTCTTAATTGCTTTGATCATAAATCATAATAAAAGCAAATTCTTTTTTCGCCTTTATTTCTTTTTCTGTTTTTTTCAGACTACGAATACTTCCGACTTAATCATAAGCAATTGAGACATTGAAAACGAAGTTTCACAAAACTTTCTGCTTCAGAATCTCTGGCTCTATCAGTAATATCAATGATATATTTCTGCACAGAATATCTCCAGTAAATCTGATCTCTTTAACCCAAAAAAAAAAAGTACTGAGTTGTAATACAAAACATGTAGATTAGTTTTTCATCATCAAAATTCATTAATGTATGTGTATCAGTTAATCAATAACCCAAAAATATTCATGCATTAGTAAGTAGTACCTTGGAACTCCTGGAGATGTAGTGATAAGCAAATTTGCCATCAAGGCGATATTCATGCATAACCCAGTTACTTTTTTCTCCTTTTGGAGCTCTTCCTCGATAGAAAACTAGGGTTTTCTTCATACCAACAAGTGCACAAGTTTTTGAACTGAAAATCTCTCTATCTTTTCCAGTAGCTTTCCAGTAACCTGCTTCAGTAGCTCTGTTAGTTCTCAGCCCTGTTGGATACTTCCGATCACGTAGACTGAAGAAATACCATTCTTTTTCTCCCATCTTCGCTTTCCCTAAAAAAAAAAACAAAAAAAAAAAGCTTAAATATGTTAAAACATATGGTAATTTTGCACACTCAAATACTTCGTGAAAAAAAAAATTATACCAGGAAGTTCCCAAGGTTCACATTTGTTGAGATCAACTTCCGCAATAGCTCTAGCAGTGAAGTTGCAGTCCAAAACCTTCTTCAACAAGTAGTAAGTAATAAGTTCTTCATCAGTCGGATGAAACCGAAACCCCGGTGGTAAATGCGGATCACCGCAATCAAACTGCATCTGAAGATAATTCTCCATGGAAAAAACAACAACAAAAACACTAAGAAATGGAGAAACCTAATTTCAAAAAATTTCACACAAAGAAAACACAACACATTATGCAGAAGATAAAGAGTGATTTGAGGGTTATATTATAGGAGAGATGGTAGTGTACGTTTGGTTCATGGGAATTGCAGAAAGATTAGAGTGGGAGGAAATCATAAGGATGGATGATGTAGGTGGGGAAAAGGAAAAATCTGTGCAACTGCCCTGTCCTGTTCTGTTTTTTTATTTTTATTTTTTATAGCTCTGATGATCTTTCTGTACTGTACTATGCTACAGGCTAAGCTAAGGCCCTAATTATCATATCGATAAGCCTAGAGAGAGAAAGAGAGAGGAAGAAAATGGTTATTTTGAGTAGGGGTATAGAGACTTGTGAGTTGTGTGACAACTACTAACCACACGAGTATGGGTAGGGAGGGGTAGGGGAGGGAAAGGGTGATGTATTTATTTGTAAATTTTTGGTTTTAACTTTTGTATGGTAGTGAATAATTTATTATAGATTTAAATAAATTATATATATCAATAATAATGTGAACGTATATCTTAAATATAGTGTAATATCGTTTGGTTGCTGATTAAAGTTATACAAATTTTCTTATAATATAAAGATTAGTTATGCGATAATTTAACTATTATTGATTGTGATTATATAGATTCTCTCATAATTAACTTATACATAATATATCTACTATTTATGCGTGTTTCTAACATGGGCAAAATTAGATAGAGCCAATAGCATTCATCCGAACCTCCTTCGATGAAAATTTACACTACTTATACATGATTATATATATATATATATATATATTGACGTTGAATCTACCTTTTTAGAATAGCTCTAAGACGTTGAACTCTCTTATTGACTTCTCACGTGTTTACTTTCATATTTTGAAATCATTGATGGAAATCATAGCTTCGTCGCTAAATTCTAAATTGCAAACAAAGCAACATACTAATTTGATGGTACATGATTAATTTACCTCCTAAATATAGCTATCATGTCGAACGTAATATAACTCATGCAAGATTTAATACAAACATAGCTAACCTCTAAACTAGCTATAAAACAACCTCTAAGCGGATAGGTGTAATTTAAATTATAGTTACTTGTAATTATATTCTAATGTTTTGATAGTGTAAATAATTTTAAAACTATCATTTGCATAGAATAGACCAAAGACAATTGCAAAACTTATATTTCTCTATTTTGCATCTTTATGGCTTGGTCATCGGTTAATGTTACTAAAAAAGAAGTTGTTAACTATGATAATATTGTACCCATTAAAGGAATTTGATGTGGTTCGATAAGTTAATATAGCGAGGGTCCATAAGATCATTTATGCTTTGATAAAGGCAATCTTATAAATCCATTTGATAAAGACACATATAATAAATTTCATTATAGACGGCGACGTTCATTATTTCAACTTTTAACTTGAAACATGTAACTGAAAGTTTGAAAAAAATAAATATATTTTTTCACTCACAAACATTTAATTGTATTTTCGTGTACAAAAGCAATTTTTACTTTCAATTACTTTTTTTCTATATAAACTTGAAATTTTTACTTTTTTTTTTAATATCAACAAATTAATGTCCACCCCACTACCTGCTAATATATTATATACCAGATAATTAATAATAACATGAGAATCTTAATAACTCAGTAGGTTCATTATTTGACATTTCAACTTGTTGATAATATCTCATTTCTTAATTTCCTTCCTTATTTTTCCTTTCACTACTATAATTTTTTTTTAAAAAGATGAAGGTAATCAATAACAAGAGGTCACAACACCTTCGATTGACCATTTAACTTATTTTATGCATTGAAGCGTACATAACGTAAAAAATTTATTCTAAGCTTACATTTTTTATTGAAAGTTTCAGAATCTTATCTATGGATTCAATTTTTATAACAAAGGAAAGCATAGCCTATCCTTATACCATATACCATTTGATTGAAACAAGTTCTATGTTGCTCACCACTCCTCGAGATCAAAAACGGATCAAACCATTATTAACTATTGTCTATCTATGTAATTTTAACATGTATAACATTGGCAAATATCAAATTTTATAAAATAAAGTTTTTTGTAAGTAAAATATGTGGATGGATTGGTCGAATTATTGGGGTTATGCGTGCGTGCGTGAGGAAAAGTGCAGGTATTGGGTGTGTCAGTGAAGTAAATGAAAGGGAAGGAACAGAAAGTAGTTTTAAAATAGGAGAAAAGTATAGAGTTAAATTAAAGAGTAAAAAAAAAAAAAAAAAAACAGATTTTACCATCTATCCTATAAAGCTGCTTCATATCTCTTCTGTCAGCACACACACTATATATATAATCCAATTGACAGAGACAAAGGTTAAAAATCCATCCAAAATACCTGCTGCATCCCACTCTTTTTTCCTACTCCCTCACCTTCAATTACTTACACAAACTTATCATTTATTATAAACATCTTAGAACAAATTTTTTAGAGTAGTTTTCGTGTGATTTATACGTCACGAGTTTAATATATAAAATAAAGTAGAATTACGTAAGAAAAAATTGTTCTTAATCAGAAGTTTTAGATGTAAAAATCATGTTCTAGGAGTTGTGTTGTTTTCAGAAATGATCTGGACTTAATCGGACTTGAATATGTGTGCAAACTGAACATCTTGATCAAGTTTTTAGAGTAGTAACAAAATTATTTTCATGAGATTTACAAATCACAGGTCACGAGTTTTATCAGTAAAATAAGATATTAATTAAATGTTTTCGTTTTTAATTAGAAGTTTTAGATTTGAATCGCTGAAAATGAAAATAAAATTGTGTAAGGGATTGCCATTTTCACTAATAAGTCTTGTAGTTTAAGCGATCTAAATTGGTCGAGTCACTCTTATAGTTCACGATTGAAATTTAATTTTATCGAATATGTGTGCCAATACTGAACATTGGGTTATAAACAAAAACAATAGTAGTAATTAGGTATTGAAGCTTGTTTTAGGGTGTAGAATGACTATATATATAATATCTTATTGAGGTGCGATTTTTTCTTAGACCTTGAACGATATATTTTGTGCAATGGCATATATATATTATATATATATATAATTATTAGTAATAGTTTGTATATTATCGGTGTATATTTAAAGTATAATGTATAACAGTTATATAATTATAATTAGTATGTAGATAGGATACATAGATTACTTATTTAGTAAACATGCAGGGTAAAATTTCTAAAAGTCAACACTATTAAAGTTTTCTTTTGTTGAACTAATGTATAAATATAAAACACCAATATTTATTAAATGAAAATGAAAAATAAAACCATTTAATATTCTCATTGAGGCTTTAATTAGTCATATATATAATAATACTAATAATTTACTATCATAATTAGTGGATTGAGTGATCCAAGTTGAAAATGACAAGGTAAAGTCTGAAACAATTGATGACCATAACGAGACAATCCGTGAATAAAATGCTAGCATGCCCAAGTTGCTTTCAAACTAATTGAAGACAAATACAATAGAATATTTTTAGGTATACAAATAATGCATTCATAATTTTCATATTCATATCACCATTAACTTTAGCAGTATAATTATTCTCGTACTCCCTTCCTTATTCTTCGATTTTTGTTATTAAATGTTATATTTTGTATTTTAATAATTGTACTATTTTGTTATTGTTACTGTTCCGACCTCGCTTCTCTATTTTCTCTTTATCAAATGCCTTCTTTGAGAGACGGTCTTAGCAAACAAACTCTCTACTTTCACGCGATAATAAGAACATGTAAAATTATATTGAATTTGTTATTATCGATGTTGCGGTAAGAAATTAAAGAGAACCGTTTGTATGAGTAGAAGAGCATTTACAATGAGTTGCCGTTATTATCAAACAAAACTCACGGTGATCTAGCAACTTGCACTGCAAACTAGGAAACTCCAGAAATACCCCGGCCCCCCATGCTTTAAAGCTGCTCTTTTATAGTCAATTTTTTTTTATCATTAATATTTGTCCAACCAGTTGTATAAATTTAAAAAAATATTACTATATGATTTCACAAAAAATTTTATTTGGTACTCATATCACAATTCACAAGATGATAATATAGTTATTTATTTGATTATCGTAACCATCTCATTAATACCTTGAGTGTACACCTGTAATCTGACATTATAATTTTAAATCAACATTTGAATACATAATTTAGGTCATAAATAACTTGTGTGTGCACATGGATTAAATTATTATAATATCAAATCAGTGTTTGAATATAACAAAATTATCGTAACCATCTCATTAATACCTTGTGTGTGCACTTGTAATATGACACTATAATTTTAAATCAGCATTTGAATACGTAATTTAGGTCATAAATAACTTGTGTGTGCACATATAATATGAAATTATTATAATATCAAATCAGCATTTGAATACATGAAATTTAGCTAGCGTTTGATCCTAACTTTTCAAATATTTTTGGTAAATTATATTTGAGTGAAGTTTTACCATGTGTTTGGCCCTAAATTTTCTCAAAAATATAAACTATTTCAAAAATTATGATTTATACCCATAAGTTCTAAAAATTATTTATAATACCCATAAATTTATATTATCATTTTATAATGAATATGTTCTGTTAAAAAATAACCTTATAATATAATGGGAAAATGCATAAGTACCCCCCAGCCTATGCCCGAAATCCCAGAAACACACCTAACCTTTACTAAGGTCCTATTACCCCCCCGAACTTAATTTATCTATAATAGTCTACCTCTTTTCGGCCTACGTGGCACTATCCTTGAAAAAAATGTCAACATGCGCTGGGCCCACAAGACAGTGTCACGTAGGCCAAAAAGGGGTAAAATATTACATATAAAATAAGTTCGGGGGGGTAATAGGACCTTAGTAAAGGTTAGGTGTGTCTCTGGGATTTCGGGTATAGGCTGGGGGGTACTTATGCATTT